AAATTTTCTAACAATAGACAAGAAAAATAAATAAATTTATTTCCAAAAATTTACAGCATTTAAAATTTCTAACATAGATAAAATATCACAATTTTTATTAAAAAGATTATTTTTCAAATTAATGAGGTCGCTTGCGCATAAAATTTATCACGCCTAAAATTCATGATAATAAGCAGAAGTAATTATTTCATTTCATTTTTTAAAAGAACGGATTATTTTTCAAGATAATAAAATTACTTACCTAAAATATTTGAGAGAAAGCTTCCGACAAAAATTCGGCTAGAATTCACTGCGTTTCGACTAGAGAGAGAGAGATCTCAAAATTTTCTAGGGTGGGAATCCTCACTTCTCTCATTTAAATTCTTACGACACCTTATTATATTCTTTTATTAAGTTTATATTACATCTTAAACGCTTAAAGCCCACGTCCACTAAAGGACGTGGCAAGAGAAAAAGCTTAAACCAGGTAAAAGCTTTTGAAAATAGTGATGGTCCCTAAGGACCATCATGCTCATACGAACCATCACTTATTTAAAAGTTTATTTTATTTTCTTTTCTTCCTTTTTTTTTTGAAATTTTAGGATTATTACATTCTTCCCCCCTTAAAAAAATTTAGTCTTCTAAATTTGTGTACCTGATTACTGAAAAAGATAGGGATATTTTTCTCTGATATCGTCTTCTCGTTCTCAAGTCGACTCCTCTATTGAATGGTACTGCTATAATATACGGACTAAATGAATCTCCTTATTGCGCAACACTTGTACCCTTCTATCCAGTATCAAAATTGGCTGCTCAATGAAGGATAGGTCTTTTTTGATCGATAGAGGTTCATATTTCAAGATATGGGATGGGTCGGGTTGATATTTTCCGTAGTGATAATACATGGAAGACATTATGGACGTTTGCCAATTTGGGTGGTAAGGCAAGTCTATAAGTGACACCTCCGATGCTTTCCAGGATTTCAAATGGTCCGATGTAACGTGGGCTCAGCTTTCCTTTCTTGTCAATCTCATAATGCCTTTTATTGGTGAGATCTTTAAGAAAACTCGATCACCTTCCTCAAATTCAAGATCTCTCATTCGGTT